ATCACAAACCTCCTGGAGTTTTATGACAAGGTAACAGAAGTAAGACACGAGAGAGAGGGATGGGTAGATTGCGTTTTCCTAGACTGCAGGAAGGCTTTGACACAGTTCCCACAAGAGATTAGTGCAGAAGCTGGAGGATCAGGCGCACGTAAAAGGGAGGGCACTGCAATGGATAAGGGAATACCTGACAGGGAGGCAGCAACGAGTCATGGTACGTGAAGAGGTATCACAGTGGGCGCCTGTTACGAGCGGGGTCTCACAGGGGTCAGTTCTAGGACCAGTGCTATTTTTGATATATGTGAACGACATGATGGAAGGAATAGACTCTGAAGTGTCCCTGTTCGCAGATGACGTGAAGTTGATGAGAAGAATTAAATCGGACGAGGATGAGGCAGGACTGCAAAAGAGACCTGGACAGGCTGGACATGTGGTCCAGCAACTGGCTTCTCGAATTCAATCCAGCCAAATGCAAAGTCATGAAGATTGGGGAGGGGCAAAGAAGACCGCAGACAGAGTATAGGCTAGGTGGACAAAGACTACAGACCTCACTCAGGGAGAAAGACCTTGGGGTGACCATAACACCGAGCACATCACCGGAGGCACACATCAACCAAATAACTGCTGCAGCATACGGGCGCCTGGCAAACCTGAGAATAGCGTTCCGATACCTTAATAAGGAATCGTTCAAGACACTGTACACTGTGTATGTTAGGCCCATACTGGAGTATGCAGCACCAGTCTGGAACCCACACCTGGTCAAGCACGTCAAGAAGGTTTGCAATAAGGCTAGTCCCAGAGCTCAAGGGAATGTCGTACGAGGAAAGGTTAAGGGAAATCGGACTGACGACACTGGAGGACAGAAGGGTCAGGGGAGGCATGATAACGACATACAAGATACTGCGGGGAATAGACAAGGTGGACAGAGATAGGATGTTCCAGAGAGGGGACACAGGGACAAGGGATCACAACTGGAAGCTGAAGACTCAGACGAGTCACAGGGACGTTAGGAAGTATTTCTTCAGTCATAGAGTTGTCAGCAAGTGGAATAGCCTAGCAAGTGAAGTAGTGGAGGCAGGAACCATACATAGTTTTAAGAAGAGGTATGACAAAGCTCAGGAAGCAGAGAGAGAGAGGATCCAGTAGCGATCAGTGAAGAGGCGGGGCCAGGAGCTGAGTCTCGACCCCTGCAACCACAATTAGGTGAGTACAATTAGGTGAGTACACACACACACACACACACACATACACCAGGACTCGCCAGTCCACTGTCATGGTCAAGTTCAGTGTCGCCAAGCAGCAACCTTGAGGCTTCTGCTCAAACAGGATTCCTTCCTGCGTGCTGACAGAGACCCAAATGAGATATTCCCATTCAGGATATTAAATATATATGATTTCCATACCAAGAGTGTTACTTGCTCAGAATACTAAGATATGTAAACATCGATTTTTTGTTTGCGGGTTTAGATTCGCAGCTCCTGGCCCCAACTCTTAGATTACAATCCCTGGAATTATTGGTTCGTGGCCTTCTCGGCTCTGTCATACCTACTCTTGAAATTGTGCATTAAGTTTGCTTCTACTACTTCTGATTCATCTGATTCAGTCCATTTTCTTACCATCATGAAACTGAAACAGTACTTCCTAACATCCCTATGGCTCATCTGTCTTTAGGTTCCATCTATGACCACTCGCATATAAAAAAAAGTTGGTCCCCATGCTTCGCATTTCAATAACTCTATGCCTATCTATTCTGTTAAATTCTTTAAGTATCTTATATTTTGGATTCATGTTTTCACAATTCACTCTCTTTTCTAAAGCTGCCAGATTCAATTCCTTTAGTCTTTCTTCATCTTCTCTTGGCTCCAAGCTAGTCTTGCTGCAAACCTTTGGACGTTTTCGCGATTTCGAACATGTTCGACTCAACTGGTGGTTCCATGCTGGTGCTATATCCTCCACGACAGATCTAATATATGTTGTGTAGATCTAAAATATTCTTTACTGATGTTTCCAAGTTAAGCTGATCTTGCATATGCTGCAGATGTGATGTGATTTATGTCCACCTCTAGTGATATGTTGGTTATGATGTTTACTCCAAGGTTCTCGAGCGATACTTATAGTTTCTCGTTTCTCTAGTAGTATATTTTCCCTCTGTTCTCAACCCTTTCCCGATTTCTTTTGAACTTGTATTTATTTTGGTTGAGCTCCAGTAACCACTTGTTTGACCATTCCTGTAGCTTGTCTAAGTCTACCTGTGGCCTTTCTCTAGCCTCTTCTGTTCTAATTCTTCTCATTAGTTTTATGCAATCAACAATAATATATACAATTCAATCTCTTTTGGTAGGGCATTTAAGAATAGTAATGGTCCTTGTACTGATCCTTAAGGAACCCCACCTGTTACACTTTCCCATCCTGAAATGTCTGCCCTTGCTATCACCTTCTGTCGTCTGTTAGTAATATATTATGTGGTTCGTTTTACTCTGAATTCCTGTTTACTCTTCTTATTTGCTTTACTGTAGTCCAGGAATAGGCAGTCAACCTATCTTGGCCTTTGATGCTTGATTTCCGCTATTTTGTGCTTCAGATTCACACAATTCTTCCTCCTTTTACATAGTGACATGCTGTCAGGCCCCACGATTTTTAATGGTCGAACTTGTTCAGTAGTTTCATTACTCCCTCCTTTGATAAGTGAATTCTTTCCAACTTCTGCTGGTTCACCTTCTCACCCCTGCTTTATGGCACCATTTCTGTCTTCCTTAATTCCTCGCAAACTATGTCATTTATGTCTTCCTTAATTCCTCGCAAGCAAACTTCTATATCGTCTTCTGTGTGTACTCATCCCTCAGTCAGGCTTCTTACTTGGTCTTTCACAGTGGGTTTTCCTTCTCGTGTGGCTGTGTCGGCTGTGATCTGAACTTTGCTGCTGTCATTCCTAAACTGATGTTCTGCTTCCCTTCTTATTCTTGCAGAGTCATCTGTAGGTATTATTCTTGTTCCCTATTCTCTGTCTCCGTTGGTGTTCCGTATTACTTCCATTCTTTGCCTTTCCTTCTTTCTACAGCTACATCAAATTATAATTATAACAATACTCTTTAAGGGGGGTGGACCGGTAAGCCAGCGGAAGGCCTCGATCAGATGACCAAAAGCTCCAGCTGCGAGTCATCATATGAATAAGACCCGCGTCAGGAAACCTAATCCTTCCTTTGGCCTCTCTGCAACTCTGATTACACCAAGGACTCTGTATCTTGACATCCCCCACCTCAAGATAGGTATGAATCTTGACTTCCCCCCACCTCAAGATAGGTATGAATCCTGCTGTTACCTGGAGGCAACAGCAAGATTCGTAACTTTCCGTTGGGTTGTCTGACCATTCAATTAGTCGCCACACCGGATACCATATATATAGAAAAGCTCTCACCCCCGCACTGTGCACTCACCTATTTGTGGCTGCAGGGGTCGATTCACAGCTCCTGGCCCCCGTCTCTTCACTGGTGGCTACTAGGTCCATTCTTTCCCTGGTCCAAGAGCTTTGTCGTGTGTGTGTGTGTGTGTGTGTGTGTGTACTCACCTATTTGTGGTTGCAGGGGTCGAGTCACAGCTCCTGGCCCCGCCTCTTCGCTGATTGCTACTAGGTCCTCTCTCTCCCTGCCCCATGAGCTCTATCATACCTCGCCTTAAAACTATGTATGGTTCCTGCCTCCACTACATCACTTTCTAGGCTATTCCATGGCCTGACTACTCTATGACTAAAGAAATACTTCCTAACATCCCTTTGATTCATCTGAGTCTTCAACTTCCAATTGTGACCTCTTGTGTCTGTGTCCCATCTCTGGAACATCCCGTCTTTGTCTACCTCGTCTATTCCGCGCAGTATTTTATATGTCGTTATCATGTCTTCCCTGACCCTCCTGGCCTCCAGTGTCGTCAGGCCGATTTCCCTCAACCTTTCTTCATAGGACAATCCCCGTAGCTCTGGGACTAGTCTTGTTGCAAACCTTTGCACTTTCTCTAATTTCTTGACGTGCTTGACTAGGTGTGGATTCCAAACTGGTGCTGCATACTCCAGTATGGGCCTGACGTAGATGGTATACAGAGTCTTAAACGAATCCTTACTGAGGTATCGGAACGCTATCCGTAGGTTTGCCAGGCGCCCGTATGCTGCAGCAGTTATCTGATTGATGTGCGCCTCAGGAGATATACTCGGTGTTATACTCACCCCCAGATCTTTTTCCTTGAGTGAGGTTTGCAGTCTTTGGCCATCTAAACTATATTGTGTCTGCGGTCTTCTATCCCCTTCCCCAATCTTCATGACTTTGCATTTGGCAGGGTTAAATTCAAGGAGCCAGTTGCTGGACCAGGCTTGTAGCCTGTCCAGGTCTCTTTGTAGTCCTGCCTGATCCTCGTCCGATTTGATTCTTCTCATTAACTTCACATCATCTGCAAACAAGGACACTTCTGAGTCTATCCCTTCCGTTATGTCGTTCACATATACCAAGAACAGCACAGGTCCTAGGACTGACCCCTGTGGAACCCCGCTTGTCACAGGCGCCCACTCTGACACCTCGTCGCGTACCATGACTCGTTGTTGCCTCCCTGTCAGGTATTCTCTGATCCATTGCAATGCCTTACCTGTTATGTGTGCCTGGTCCTCTAGCTTTTGCAGTAACCTCTTGTGAGGAACTGTGTCGAAGGCCTTCTTGCAGTCCAAAAATATGCAGTCGATCCACCCCTCTCTCTCTTGTCTTACTTCTGTCACCTTATCATAAAACTCTAGTAGGTTTGTGACAGGATTTTCCTTCCCTGAAACCGTGCTGGTTGTCAATTATACACTTGTTTGTGTGTGTGTTTTAATTACCATTTAGCAAATTCACTAGTCGATATAAACATTAGACCGGTTTTGTGTATGTATATGCGAGTGTATGTGGATGCGTGCGCGTGCGTGCGAGCGTCCGTGTGCGTGCGAGCATCCGTGGTAACATGAGTGGTGCACCATGGTGGTTCACAATAGCTTCTTCAGTACACACCTAGACGACAAGCAGTGCACAACCCACCCCTCCATCCCTCACAGAACTCAGTGCGGATTACCCACAGATCAAAAATCTTTCTTTAATACATCATCAGAGGAGAGAATATATTGTATCAAAGACCTGTACCACAGACCAGGTCTGCAAGACCACCCTCGCAGACCACTGATCCTCTCATTAAATGTTTAAAAGTGTATTTCATTTTAGTATCGCGGGAGTATTTTGTAAGGTAAGTGTCAGTTTGACCGTCAATATGGTCCATTCTTAATTATTTGATTAGTTTTAAAGCCTACTGACTGCACGAAGGTCATTAAGAACACTTCTATTTGAATATATATATATATATATATATATATATATATATATATATATATATATATATATATATATATATATATATATATATATATATATATATATATATATTATATATATATATATATATATATATATATATATATATTATATATATATATATATATATATATATATATATATATATATATATATATTATATATAAGAACTATATATCGTTTGTCAAAGAAGTGTTTACGAGTGTAAATTATATAACTTATATTTATACCATCAAAAATAATATTTTGAATTTAAATTCTGACTACATCTGAGAGTAATGGGAGGTATTAGTCAAATGAACACATACTCAACTTTAGTTAGGGAGACGAGGTTTGCAATAAAGTATCTCTATCGTTGTACAGGTGTTCAATGACCAGATATATTTACTCGCTAATCGCCTAATTCATATCCTGGAAACTATAGGAAGACACCGCTTGTATATTTATTTTAGGAGTGATTAAGTAACAGCAGGTGAGTTTATTAAATTTATGATGTATTGACTACACCAGGCTGTATGTAACTTGTACACCAGGCTGTATGTAACGTGTACACCAGGCTGTATGTAACGTGTACACCAGGATGTATGTAACGTGTACACCAGGCTGTATGCAACGTGTACACCAGGCTGTATGTAACGTGCACACCAGGCTGTATGTAACGTGTACACCAGGCTGTATGTAACGTGTAAACCAGGCTGTATGTAACGTGTACACCAGGCTGTATGTAACGTGTACACCAGGCTGTATGTAACGTGTACACCAGGCTGTATGTAACGTGTACACCAGGCTGTATGTAACGTGTACATCAGGCTGTATGTAACGTGTACACCAGGCTGTATGTAACGTGTACACCAGGCTGTATGTAACGTGTACACCAGGCTGTATGTAACGTGTACACCAGGCTGTATGCAACGTGTACACCAGGCTGTATGCAACGTGTACACCAGGCTGTATGTAACGTGTACACCAGGCTGTATGTAACGTGTACACCAGGCTGTATGTAACGTGTACACCAGGCTGTATGTAACGTGTACACCAGGCTGTATGTAACGTGTACACCAGGTTGTATGTAACGTGTACACCAGGCTGTATGTAACGTGTACACCAGGCTGTATGTAACGTGTACACCAGGCTGTATGTAACGTGTACACCAGGCTGTATGTAACGTGTACACCAGGCTGTATGTAACGTGTACACCAGGCTGTATGTAACGTGTACACCAGGCTTTATGTAACGTGTACACCAGGCTTTATGTAACGTGTACACCAGGCTGTATGTAATGTGTACACCAGGCTGTATGTAACGTGTACACCAGGCTGTATTTAACGTGCACACGAGGCTGTATGTAACATTTACACAAGGCTGTATATAACCTACACAAGACTGTATGTAACGTACACAAGGCTGTATATAACGTACACAAGGCTGTATATAACCTACACAAGACTGTATGTAACCTACACAAGGCTGTATATAACGTACACAAGGCTGTATATAACCTACACAAGGCTGTATGTAACCTACACAAAGCTGTATATAACCTACACAAGGCTGTATATAACCTACATAAGGCTGTATATAACCTACACAAGGCTGTATATAACGTACACAAGGCTGTATATAACGTACACAAGGCTGTATATAACCTACACAAGGCTGTATATAACCTACACAAGGCTGTATATAACGTACACAAGGCTGTATATAACGTACACAAGGCTGTATATAACCTACACAAGGCTGTATATAACCTACACAAGGCTGTATATAACGTACACAAGGCTGTATATAACGTACACAAGGCTGTAATAACCTACACAAGGCTGTATATAACCTACACAAGGCTGTATATAACGTACACAAGGCTGTATATAACGTACACAAGGCTGTATATAACCTACACAAGGCTGTATATAACCTACACAAGGCTGTATATAACCTACACAAGGCTGTATATAACGTACACAAGGCTGTATATAACGTACACAAGGCTGTATATAACGTACACAAGGCTGTACATAACCTACACAAGGCTGTATATAACCTACACAAGGCTGTATATAACCTACACAAGGCTGTATATAACGTACACAAGGCTGTATATAACCTACACAAGGCTGTACATAACCTACACAAGGCTGTACATAACCTACACAAGGCTGTACATAACCTACACAAGGCTGTATATAACCTACACAAGGCTGTATATAACCTACACAAGGCTGTACATAACCTACACAAGGCTGTACATAACCTACACAAGGCTGTATATAACCTACACAAGGCTGTATATAACGTACACAAGGCTGTATATAACCTACACAAGGCTGTACATAACCTACACAAGGCTGTATATAACCTACACAAGGCTGTATATAACCTACACAAGGCTGTATATAACCTACACAACGCTGTACATAACCTACATAAGGCTGTATATAACATGTACTCCACTACTCAAGAACACTTTCCTCTGTAATATAAAGATGAAAGTTAACTCAAAGTATGCCAAAATTGAGAGATACACACCTCTCAGTGTTTATAACCTTTAATGTATATACCAATAGAATTTTTTGGCCCCCCTCCCCCGATGAGCGAATTTTGTCGAGTGACTGCCATGAAGAGGACTCGTCAACCAACTTATTTGATCCGCCACTAGTGCTGTCAACTCTGTCCTTGGCTGCCACATTCTTTGCATAGTGTTTTTGTAAATTCGTCTGTCATTAGCATCAAGGAAACTTTAATCCATGGAGATTAAATTAGACTCCCGATGTGTATTCCCTAAGAGTCGTGCATTTCAGTTTATACAGTGAGATGTGCACCTATCAGTGTATATACACCGAGATATATATACCTATGTATATACAGCGTAAGATATACATCTCATTGTATATACAGTGTAAGATATACATTTCAGTGTATATACAGTGTAAGATGCACATCTCAGTTTATATAGTGTAAGATATACATCTCAGTGTATATAGTGTAAGATATACATCTCAGTGTATATAGTGTAAGATATACATCTCAGTGTATATAGTGTAAGATATACATCTCAGTGTATATAGTGTAAGATATACATCTCAGTGTATATAGTGTAAGATATACATCTCAGTGTATATAGTGTAAGATATACATCTCAGTGTATATAGTGTAAGATATACATCTCAGTGTATATAGTGTAAGATATACATCTCAGTGTATATAGTGTAAGATATACATCTCAGTGTATATAGTGTAAGATATACATCTCAGTGTATATAGTGTAAGATATACATCTCAGTGTATATAGTATAACATATACATGTCAGTATATACACGAAAAAGTCGGTAACTAACTTGGGACCAGCCATTGGTACATTACTTACAGTGTCGCCCGTATACTGTCACCATTGTATCTTGTGAGTGTAGTTCACTGCCTGTACCCGTTACTGTAATATATAGGCTAATATAGGTAACAGTTACGCCCGACAGGATGAATGCCGTGTGACTGGTCCAAATGATAGGCTGTGAGTGTATCTATTTCCTGTTTCTCATTATTACGTTATATTTTGTTTGTCCATCTGTTAAAGTCTGTCACGAGTCACATCACTGAGAAACAAATTGATTTAAAGCTTATTGATAAAGGATAATATATGTTTGACGTATACCCAAAATTTAAGGGTTTGACGACTAGAGAATACACATTCAAGAATTATTTAATGATTATTATTATTATAATCAAGGGGGAAGCGCTAAACCCGGAGGATTATACAGCGCCTGTGGGGGGGATGTGGAAGGCATTCAGGCTTAATTCGGGGAACTGGAGCACAGATCCAATTCCCTAAATCAAGAGCCCCTCACCAACATCAAGGAACCTTCCTTGAGAGGTATTTAATGAGTAAATAGGATTATTGTTAAATTTCACGGTAAATACGGTGATAGACACATCTCTTAGCGTATTGATTCGATGATCTGCTCTCCCTCTCCACTGGTCCCTCAACAAGAAACGTTAAAAAGGTTAAGCAAATCATTAGAAAGATTATGTAAAATAATTATATTAAGTAAATACTGACGAGGTCAAGTCAGTTTCGCGGGTAAAGTAAACATGTATTTTATTGTACTTCCCACTTGTGGCATTTTTGCCTAAAACCTAAGTCTACAGTTGGTCCTTGTAGCTAAGAGCCTCCATTGTGGTTTTAACCACAAGGTCTGTGCTACTTCTCAGGAATACTAGGGATACCAGGGAGCCAAGAGAGAGGTGTAATTTGCTGGTTATCTCTCCAGCGCGGCCCTCGTAGTACTGTTTCCCAGTACATTTAAATTTACGCTTGTTCACCGCCATCTTTGTGGTTTATAACATCAAGATACATTGATTCTCTGAAGGAAATTAATTAAAATAAACTATGAATAAATACACTTAGGTAAATACGTCTTGATGTATATATATATATATATATATATATATATATATATATATATATATATATATATATATATATATAATATATATATATATATATATATATATATATATATATATATATATATATATATATACACTTGTGATACAACATTTCCTGGTCAGTTAAAGCGGTCAGTGTGAACCTTCAGGGCGCATACAACGGTCGCAGGAAGAGCAAACAGAAATATGTACACTCATCGTAGTTATAACTGCACCGACAAGGAATAACCGAACATAGTAAAAGCTATGGGACCTTATAACATATCCCCTTGAGTACGAAGTGAAGGAGAAGCACTGCATGACTCCATGGTAAAGATCTTAAAAAAAGGGTACTTAGAGAACGTTAATAAGACACATTATATGTGTTATGGCATGTATTTGGATGAAACGTTAAAATGTAGTGGACACTTGTTGACTGATTGAGGAAACCC